AACTCTTTTTGCATTTTGGAATTCTTATGACTCGGACACTTGAGCGCATTTAGTAGTAGGTCAATGTTTATATTATTTTTGTTTATACAATTTTTATTGTATTATTTTATTTTAAATGATTTTAATAGAAAAAAGCATGCATCACAATAAAATTACTTATCTAATTATTATATGGAAAATAACTGCATCTTTTTGTAAATTTTAAGCATTTCGACTGCTTTTTGTACACGTTAACCCCTCCGATCGGCATTTTGTAAAGAGCACCTACTACGGCGGCAACGTTTCTGGTAATGATAAATTCGATTTCGTAAACAGTTTTTATAAACGCACAAGCTTTTAAATCCAATACCTTGGCAGAGGGGAATAATTATGCGAGATGAGTCCACTGGGTTAAATGGTCTAAAGGCTACTTACTTGCCTGCCGCAGGGGCAATCTAGGGTGTAAGAATGGGGATAACCCTTAATTGTGATTTGTGTATGAAAGCAGGGGCATTTTTCAAATTCAGCCCTGCGGCAGAGCGACATGGGTGCAAGACCTTCCTTGCTCCCTAGATCATAGCTACTGCCACCACGTGTGTAGCGCAACTGGGGCAATTTCAATCAGTTCGTTAGCGAATTTCGCGCGCAGCACACGTCATAATGGATACCAATAAAAAATATGAAATTTGGACACTGGTGATAGAAGTGTATTAAGCGCGGCTTCTTCAGCCAGTATCCCCTATGAAACGTACACTGCAAAGGCAAGCACCGAAAATGGTGCCCCGATCGCTGTTCGTCATAGATTGCCCCTGCGGCACGAAAGTGAGTAGCCGCCGAGTAAGACCGAGACAGACCAGATGATTTTTTTTAGATTCTCTTTAATACACAATCAGCCAATCTCAATTTCTTGATTCCGCGGAGGTACTGACAGCTGCCAACTAGCGCCACCAACAGCTTTAAATATTATAACTTCTTATTAAAGAATGTTTTAGTTTATTCTGATTTAGAAGTTATAATATTAATAGTGCTAAATAAGAAAGAAAGAAAGAAAGAAAGAAAGAAAACATTTATTGCTCAAATACGCCACATGTACATTTAAACCATAAACATAAAAAATACATAGATAGTAAAAAGAAAAAAAAATAAAAAAAGAAGAATACAAGAAATAAAAAAAAATTAAACACATCACACATTTTACGCACACAAGTGTGTGTGGCGTACACGGCAAACAGACCGCACTCAGCTTAATGCCGCAGTCGATACGAGACTACAGCGCTGGTTTTCAGTGGGCCTGTGAATTAAGTGACGCACGGACGTTCACACCGTCATTGATAGACTAATAATAATTAACATAGATTACATGAATGAACTAACTGGATCTAGTACAAAGAATGTCCGAAAATTTTCTTTTTAAAAAGTATTGTTATCACCATAAGAGTCATGTATCTATGAGGTATTAGTTGGAAATAATATGAAAGAAGAAACACTAAATGATGGCATCCTACAAAAATATTTTCTCACAGGTATGTAATCATAACCATAATCTTAAGCAACAATATTATCACTAGAAACAATATTTTAATAAAGTCACTAATGATTGCACGTTAAACATATACTTATATCATAGTTATAATTAATAGCATGAAAAACGCTTTTATTTCAGCACTTAAGTATCAAAAAATAAAAAATAAAGTACTATGCACTCTTATGCTTTCCGTATGACCCCGCCGGACAGCGCTAAGTGTCTGTAATTATTTAGGTAGGTAAATATCAAGCCATAGCTTTTTGAACAATAATTAGGTGAGTTTTATATTTTATTTTAAATGTATTTAATGTTTTCAGACTACGAAGCGGTGGCGGCAGGTTATTCCAGCATTTAGAGGCAGAATATTTGAAACTTCCACGAAAGGCGATGGTACGATGGTAGGGTACAACCAAAGAGTAACATGACGCGCGAGTGATCTTTGATTGTACGTCGCGAGACCACACTAATTTGTGATAAAGATAAGGTGGTACATTATATTTAATTAATCCAAATAGAAATGTGGCTAGGTGGTGTTCTCGCCTATACTGCATTTTTAAAATATTGTGCTCGTTTATGTACGGCGTGACGTGAGCGCGTGGAGGTATCTTAAAACAAAATCTCGCACAAGCATTTTGCACCCTCTGAACAAGTTTCTTGCTATGCACAAGCAGACGAGGGCCATACACTAAATCCATATAATTAAATTTAGACAGAATCAAAGAATCGCACAGTCTTATCCGCATATCGGTATTTAGGCAATTTCTAATTTGATATAATACTTTTAACCTATAAAAACATGTTCTTGCAGTGTTTATTATGTGACTTTCAAAGCGTAACTTGTCATCTATCAACAAACCCAAATTACGAGCCTCAGTCACGCGTTCAATTCGTTCGCTCCTTATGGTTACTTTAGCATCATGTTTTGCTATTTTTTGTATTTGCTGAGCCGTACCTAGAATCATATATTTAGACTTGCTTCCATTAAGGACTAATGCGTTCGAATCTGACCAAGCTGCAATTCTTTCGAGATCGTCATTTAATTTTTCCACCGCTAATTTAGTCTCCCCCGGTTTACAAGGTATATATATCTGTGTATCATCCGCGTACATATGGTATTTGCAATGCTTAATACAATTTGTTATATCCGCACAATACACGGCAAACAAAATAGGTCCTAGGATAGATCCCTGCGGAACGCCTTGTTTGACAGCCTGAGCGTTCGAAATGACTGGTAACCCATTTTCGTCTGATATTTCTACTTGCTGTATACGATGCTCGAAATAACTTTCGAACCATTTTATTGCAGATATGTCGAAACCGTAGTAATGTAATTTAGACAAAAGCAATGGCACATTAAGACAGTCGAATGCTCTGGAAAAGTCTAGCAAGGCTAAAATCGTTCCTTTGCCACTCTCTATATCTGATAGTATATCGTCGACAACATTTATCATAGCGGTTGACGAACTGTGGTGTTTTCTAAACCCTGACTGAAGAGTGGGAAGCACATCGTTAGTTTCTAAGTATATTCTTACCTGCTCAGCCACGACTTTCTCCAGGATTTTTGATACACAGGGGAGTATACTAATCGGGCGTATGTCCTTCATGGTAATAGGATTTGAGTTTTTGGGTATAGGTCTGATGAGTGCGTGCTGCCATTCTGAGGGATATGTTTGCGTTGTAATTGATTTATTAATTATCTCCGTAATAACAGGTATTGTTACGGGAAAAGACATTTTTAACATATCCAAGGAAATACCGTCTGCAACCACCGCATTTGACTTTAATGACTGTGTTATTTTCACAATATCACTTTCCTCAATTGTCTTCAGTTTGAATACATTTGAGACTTTGACGTGTGATTTAAAGAATGTCATATATGAAATAGGAACTTGATTATTTCCTGGCACATTTAAAAAGCTTGTATTAATCGAATCGGGGTCGTTGAAAATATGGTGAGGCAGGTCCGGCTTAGTTTTTAACCTAACGTTTTTTTTTATATGTGACCATACGATGCGAGTATCTTTTTGATTATTTATAAAAAAATTGTAGTAAGCTTTCTTTTCTCTTATTAATGCTTGTGCAACATAGTATTTGAGCTCTTTGTAAAGTAATTTTTGGCCTGCTGTACCACCTGACTTACGTGCGACAACACCTGCTTCATCTCTGACTTTCATCATTTTTTTTATATTATAAGTAATCCAAGGATATTGGAAGTGTTTTAATGATTTTCTACGTACGGGCGCATGAGTGTTAAATAATGTTTTTAACATAGTATTAAACAATGATACCATGTCATTGACGCGATCCAATGTTTTGAAACTTGTCCAATTTAAAGACTTTAAATCTAATAGGAACTGTTCATTATCAATCGCATGCAAATTTCTACGCGATATAATAATTGGTTTTGGTTTCGGTTTTTTTATATTTAATTCGCAGCAAATAAATGCATGACCGCTTAGTTCCGGTATATGATTCACAGAAGTGAATGATTGTTGGATGTCTGTACATACTAGGTCTATTAAAGTTTCACTGTATTCCGTGAAGTGGGTAGGCTCAGTAACACACTGATTTAATTTATAACATTGTAGAAAAATTTTCAACTTCTTACAGTTATTATCCATATCATTTAATAAATTTATATTGAAATCGCCTAATAAAACTACATTATTACACCATGATAATGTTCCGATAGTTTCCGATAAAGCATCGAAAAAAATGTCAACACTCAACCACGGCGGTCTGTAGTATAAGTAGTATAAGTATACCTTTTTACAATTGATTGGTTATCATTGGTTCGATGTTTTGTGAAAATACATCGATACATCGAGTATATCACTAACTTTCCAAAACATCGGATCGATTCGATGCATCGTATTGTAAACATCGAGTGAATTCGATGCATCGATGTATATCGAATATCCCTACTCTTTGGCTTTGGTTAGAATCTACTAGTTAGGCCCGCCATATACATACGGAATTCCGTTTCGAGATTCCGTTTCGGAATTTCGAACGGTCGGCCACACACAAACGGAATCCCGTTTTGCCCGCAAAATATCGAACGGAAAACTACCGTACGTGTGTGGCGGGTAATAGATTTTATATGGACTTGCTGCGTTCGGGATTCCGAATCGGAATATCGAAACGGAATCTCGAAACGGAATTCCGTATGTATGTGGCCGGCCTTAGTCTGTGAAGGAATCTTTGAGGTTAGAACAGACCAGATCACAGAACACAATTACTCCACCAGATAGAGAAAAGCAGAAAAGAAACTGACGTTTGAGGTTAAGTCTTAGGTCTGGCTACTTTAGCTTTAGGTTAAGTTAATAAGTTTACTCAATAAATAAACATGGTAAACCCAAGTGGTAAACGCTAAAAATAGTGATTTTTACGAGTAAATATTCCTAAATTTATTTACTAATTGGCGTAGACGGAACTCTGCTATTTTGATTGGATAAGTTTCTGGATTTAAAACAAAATATTAATATTTTCTTATAATATGGATGAATTAATCATTGGTACTTATGAAGGATTTTTACTCGGATATTCTCTGCGAACTGAAGATGGTGTAAGTTATATTTTAAAACATAATATATGTTTCATGACGTTTTATTAAAATAATACATAAGACTTTAATTTGTAGGTTACGCGATTAAAACAAACATTTGCGACACATTCACATACTTTCTCTGTGCGATGTGTTTCAATTGCTGGAAAGTTTCTGGCATCCGGTGGCACCGATGACAAAGTTGTTGTGATAGATTTGAAAACGCGTAAGGAGCATACAGTCCTAATGCACCATGATGGAACCATAAATGCTGTTGCATTTACAAACGGCGGCACTCATTTATTAACTGGCAGCGATGATGGTTCAATCATTGTCACTCGAACAGGAAATTGGCAGATTGAAAAGATTTGGAAAAAAGCACATGGAGGTATGAACCAGAATACCTTTGCTGATATGGTATAAATAAATAAAGTCATAAGGCATTAAATTTGTATTGTATATGTTTGTTAGTCTCTTTTAAAAAACTATTTTGTCAGAATTTTTTTACTGAAGATATTATAATTTATAATGCTTAACTCAAGGTTAAATCACTTAGTTGGGAAATTCTGATGAATTTTATCAACATTTTAGTTCCTTAATAATAATACAGCAAAGTTAAATAAATGTTTTGTTTTAAGGTCAGCCAGTAACTGCTGTTGCAGTACATCCGTCAGATAAAATGGCACTCAGTATTGGTGGTGATAAAACATTGCGAACATGGAACTTAATTAAAGGGAGACCAGCATTTACCATAAACCTTGCTAGTAAAGGAGTTAACATGCCAACAGATATAAAATTTTCTCCTGGAGGTGATAGGTTTTCGTTACTGTCCCTACAAACTATTGATGTTTGGACTATTAGTAAAGCTGGTGTAGAGAAAAGAATATCTTGTAATTCAAAACCAACATCAGTACAATGGATTAATGATGAAAGAATATATGTCGGTTTAGAGAATGGTAATATTATAACATTAAATGTCACCGACAGTCAAGCCCTTACTTATCAAGGACATAAACAAAGAGTCAAATGTTTACACTATGAAAATAACATGCTTTATTCAGCATCTAGTTCTGGTGAGCTAAAATCATGGCTGGTTAAAGATGAGAAATTGCAAGAAATATGCTATAACAATGCTTCTTGTAGAGTTACTTGTATATCATTGAATAGACAAAACCATCTCATCAAGAAAGAAGACTCTGATGAAGAAGCTAATATTGAGAACAATGTCAAACCAGATGATGATGATAGTGATGATTCTGAAAGTATAAATGAGAAATCTCAACTAAAAAGAAAGCCTGGAGCATTTGTCACTATATCTTATGGTGATGAGGATGACAATAATAAAAGTATAAATTCCATCACACCACCTGCTAAAAAATCAAAAAAGAGAAAGAGAAATAAGATATTAAAAAGTAATGATGATTAATAATTATTGCATTTTTTTTTTTAAAGTATTCATGTCATAAATTCTTTGTAGGTAATTTAGGTAGGTATTTAATTCTGAAACAAATAATATTACTAAAAATTAAAAAATGTTTTGAAACTCAAATCTCTAATTATCAAGTTTTTAACACCCTTAAATAATGGTAATATGCCAAGTCACCATATAACAATCATGTCATACCAGATTCGATTATCTTTGATGGGGAGATTCTTTAAGTTGTTCAAGAATATATCTTAGAAACAGCTTTGAGAAAGAAACCGATAGGTAGATTTGGTTGGGCAGGGCAGCATACAGGAAAGTTCGTCAGATTTTCTCATCGCCGATACTGCAAAGTAGACGATAGTCTTCGACTATTGTCCTGCATGTACTCACAGGTACCAAAACATGAACACTAACGCTACGTCTACTTCACAAACTCAGGCACCCAGCGAGTGATGGTAAGAGCTATGCCCGGAGTTTCTCTGGTGAATAAGATTCGTAACGAAGAAATCTACCACAGAACTAAGGTACAACATAGCCTTTCGTATTTGCAAGCTGAAGTACCAATAGGCTGGTCACATCTTTCGCAAAAGTGGTAATGGAATAGATGTGTCAAAGAATGAGGATCGCGTTAAGGTAAACACAGTGTAGGATGCCCATTGGCTAAATGGAGCGCCGATCTGCGCAAAGCAGTTGGCAGTGGATGCGTGAAGCGAAAGATCGTTTAGGAGACGTCTAGGTCCATCAGTGGACTGCCGCAGGCTGATGATGATGAATATAAGCTCTTAATATATACGTGGTCGCTCAGGGGCTAAGCGCTCGCTGTAAATTTCACAGTACGCGAGCAACCCGGGTTCGATCCCCGCCGGCACCAATGAAATAGTTAATTTCAATTTTAAGTGCTGATTTACCACGTGCCCGGCGGTCATGGAAAACAACGTGAGGAAACCTGCATACCTGAGAAATAACAAAAAAATTATTTCGAAAACATGTGAAGTTCGCCAACACGCATTGGGGTGGCGCGGCGGACATTCCCTTGCCATAAAACCCTTTCAGACGTGAGAGGTGGCCTGTGCCCAGCAGAGTAACGTATATAGGTTGTTACTTCACTTTAATTTATATATAAAATGATGACAAAAGGGACAGCACATACTTACGATAAATAAATTATTCAATTAGTATAGATCGAATAAATGATGATACATTGGCTACGAGGGGTCAAAAAGTTCGCGGAATGACAACACGAAAGGATAATGAAATGAAATATTAAACTATTTTTCCTTCTCAATGTTGCTTGCTCTTTCTGACAGAGACGCAGGTGTCCTCTCCGGCTGATACTTCGTATCTCTCCTACCCGGGGTACAAAATGGAGCACTCCTTTGTGCCTCGGGCTGGAGTTTGCGTGTATGTCAGAGAGGACATCTGTCCTCGATGCCTCGGCAGTCTTGAAGGTTCGGACCTGTCCATCCTTTGGCTACGCGTAGACAGCGACGACCATCCGCGCGTCAACGGGTGCTTCGTATAAGTCCCATACCGGTAATGCCGAAACAGACCGAGTCGGTCTCGACCACTTCCAAATGGCTACAGATTCCTTGCTACAACAGGTCCCATCCGCAGAGATCGTGATCCTTGGCGATTTTAACGCCCACCACGCCGAATGGCTCGGTTCACGTTTAACCGATCATGCGGGGAGATCTGTTTATGAATTTGCCTTGGCATATGGTCTGATACAACTGGCTACTTCGCCTACGCGGATTCCAGATGTGGAGGATCATGCACCTTCCCTGTTGGACCTTCTGCTGACCTCTCATCCGGACGGATATCAGGTTTCCGTCGATGCCCCTCTCGGCTCTTCGGACCATTGTCTGATCCGGAGTGTGGTGCCACTCACGCTCCCCTCGCGGTTGCGTTCTGCAGGTTGCCGCCGTGTTTGGCATTACAGGTCAGCGGATTGGGACGGAATGTGGTCTTTCTTTGCATCCTACCCATAGGAGTTTACTTCTCGCCGGATGATCCCAGCGCTGTTGCTGACTCTGTCACTGATGTGATGCTACAGGGATTGGAACTATTTATTCCATCATCTGTGGTACCCATCGGAGGCAGATCTCAGCCTTGGTTTGGTCGCTCCTGTAAGACTGCATTACGCAGTAAGCAGGAGTGTTATCAAGCCTGGGCTGCGGCTTCGGCAACTCGGGATGTAAACACCAGCATACTTAAAAAGAAGTATAACTTCACCTCCAGGTCCTTCAAAAGAGTTATAGCCAAGGCAAAGTCAGAGCACATAGGCAGAATTGGCGAGAAACTAGTTACTTCGGGAACCCGTGCATTCTGGTTTCTCGCTAAGGCTGTCCAAGGGAATTTCTGTAAGCCATCACTACCATCTCTGCACAGGGAGGACGACTCACTGGCCCACGACGCAAAAGAGAAAGCCGACCTTTTAGGCTCCCTTTTTGCGTCCAACTCCACTGTTGATGACGGAGGGACACGCCGCCGACCATCCCGCGGTGTGTGATCCATGCCGGATGTTCGGTTCTCACAGCGCTCGGTTCGCGGAGCACTCATCTCCCTGAACATCCACAAGTTGAGTGGGCGTGGCGGAATCCCCCCAATCAAGCAAGTCGAGTGAGCCCGATGGAGTCCCTCCCGTTGTGCTGAAGACGTGTGCTCCGGAGTTGGCACCAGTTCTAACACGTCTTTTCCGGTACTCCTACTCCCTAGTCGTAGTCCCGCAATCATGGAAGACAGCTTTTGTCCACCCCATCCCTAAAAAAGGCGACCGCTCAGACCCGTCCAACTATCCGTTATAAACTGCCACCTCTTGCGGTACCTTGAGGATCACCAGCTGATTAGTAACCGCCAATACGGTTTTTGTCGGGGTCGATCAGCTGGTGATCTTCTGGTCTACTTAACTCATAGATGGGCGGAGGCAGTAGAGTCCAAGGGGGAGGCATTGACCGTTATTTTGGACATTGCAAAGGCCTTCGATCGGTTTTGACACAAAGCGCTTCTTTCGAAGCTCCCTTCCTATGGGCTTCCCGAGAAATTATGCAATTGGATGGTGTTCCAATCTGCAAGAAAGCTGGTGAGCTTTCTTGCAGATCGGAGCATCAAGATCGTTGTAGACGGTGCATGGTCCGACTACAAGCCTATTAACGCTGGTGTTCCACAAGGCTGCGTGCTGTCACCAACGCTGTTTCTTCTGCATATCAATGATATGTTGCAAACCGGTAGCATTCATTGCTATGCGTATGACAGCACTGGTGATGCTCTATACACCGGCCGTGCCAATATTTCTCGGGAAAACGTTGCCAAGTACCGGAACAAACTTGTGTCTGAAGTCGAGTCTTTGCTGGACAAAGGGTCGGATTGGGGGCGACTAAATCTAGTCCAGTTTAATCCGCAGAAGACACAAGTTTGCGCGTTTACCACTAAAAAGAACACCTTTGTCGTGTCTCCTCAGTTTCAAGGTACTCCCCTTGTTGCCTCAGCCAGTATCGGAATCCTCTGCGTCGACATATCGAGTGACGTGCAGTTTCGTGGTCACTTGGAAGAGAAGGCCATATTGGCCTCCAAAAAGCTTGGCATGCTCAGCAGAGCTGGACAGTATTTCACGCCGGCACAACGCCTGCAACTTTACAAGGCGCAGGTTCGGCCTCACATGCAATACTGTTCCCATCTCTGGGCTGGGGCTCCCCAGTGCCAGCTCTTTTCACTTGACCGCATCCAGCGCAGAGCGGCTCGAATCATCGACGACCGAGTTCTTTCCGATCGGCTCGACTCATTGGCGCTGCGAAGACATGTTGCATCTCTTTGCATTTTCTTTCGCATTTACCACGGGGAGTGCTCTGAGGAATTGTTCGGATTAATCCCAGCCGCCAAATTTCACGAACGCACATCGCGGCAGAACTCCCGATACCATCCACACCATCTGGATGATTGGCGGTCCACCACTGTGCGATTTAGAAGATGTTTTCTTCCTCGCACAACTTCCTTGTGGAATAGTTTACCACCTGCGATTTTTCCGGACCGATACGACTTAGGGACCTTCAAGAAAAACGCCTACTCCTTTTTAAAAGGCCGGCAACGCATCTGCAATTCCCCTGGTGTTGCGGTTGTTCATGGGCGGCGGTAGTCACTTACCATAAGGTGAGCCGCATACTCGTTTGCCCCCTTTCCTATAAAAAAATAAAATAAAATAATTTTGACAATCCATTGCTTGTTCACTTTAAGACAGAGAGAACACGAATCAGTGTATTTCGAATTAAAAGCAATCTGCCAAGTATTGACGTTACATAATAAAGCTACGAGATCATAACCTATGTAGAACAGAGCGCGCGGGAAATTTGTAATAGTTTGAAACAGTTTAAGAGTTATTAGTTGATATTATTGATTAAGCAATTTGATAGGGCAAGCCCGGCTTTTCGGCTTCTATGGAGGCTTCGCTACCGAGGCCCGACCTGGTCGTCTTCAATGGAGTCCCTCCCTTGTTTGAAATGGACGTGTCATTTATAAATCATGGTTTTCCCTGGAGGGGAGTCCCCATAAACAGCTGACATCTCCTGAAAAATGGTTTGAGGTGTCTTTCCTTGTTTGGTGAGAAACTTAATGACGGCGCGATATTCAATTTTCTCTATAGTGGCTAGTTTCCCGATTAGGCTGAAACTTGGTATATTTACTAACAATGAGTCACTCAACTAGTGCCCACCTGGATGGATAAACACCCTCGCCAACCCCGCCAATACACGAACTTTTTGACCTCCCCTCGTATGTAAGTTCCTGATTGAAGTGTTATTAATGCGTGAAGAAAATAAAATAAAATTCGAAGAAGTGAGAATAGAGTGAATGGCAGAATATACTTCCATTCATTCTAGCAGTATAAAATATACGAGGATTATTGCAGAATAAATTAACCGAATAATAAGTATAAGGTTATAACGATATACCGTTATTCGCGGGTTTTCGCTATTGGTAGTATGCATGTTGCCGCTATGAACTCAATGAGC